ATGATGATGATGATGATGATTATGATGATGTTTATGATGATGACGATGATGATGATTATGCTAATTCTGATGATGATGATGTTGCTGCTGATGATGGTGCTGGTGATGGTGATGGTGATGATGATGATGGTGATGGTGATGGTGATGATGATGATGATGAGGATGATGATGAGGATGATGATGATGATGATGATGCTGATGATGATGATGATGATGATGATGATGATGACTATGATGCTCATGCTGATGATACTGATGATGATGATGATGATGGTGGTGATGCTGCAGATGATGATGCTTATGCTGAAGATGATGATGATGATGATGATGATGATGATGATGATGATGATGATGATGCTGATGCTGATGCTGATGCTGATGATGATGCTGATGATGTTGACGACGCTGATGATAATGCTGCTGCTGACGATGATGATGATGCTGATGATGATGATGATGATGATGATGATGATGATGAAGGCGATTCTGATGCGAATTTGGATGTTTATGTTGCTGATGCTGATGCTGCTGATTCTGATTCTGATTATGGTTATGCTGATTCTGGTGATGATGTTGCTGATGATGCTGCTGCTGCTGCTGATGATGATGATGATGATGATGATGATGCGGCTGATGATGATGCTGATGATGATGATGATGATGATGATGATGATGATGATGATGATGACGACGACGATGACGATGATGCTGACATGGATGAGGATGAGGATGACGATGAGGAGGATGAGGATGAGCAGGAGGAGGAGGAGGAGGAGGAACATGAGGGAGGATAAGGAGGAGGATGAGGAGGAGAAGGAGGAGGAGGAGGAGGATTAGGACGGGGGCCTTGAGGAGGGTTTGAGGGAGGGTCGCTTGACATTGGATCAATGGCTGCGTTACTGAATTCATCTCTATACCTTGGAGCATTCTGTGCCTTGACCGCTTTCCAGGGGCATGTTGTGTGGCTTGCAGCCCTTGCGGCGGGCGCGTCAGAAGCACATGGGCGCAGTCGAAGTGCCCGTGCTCAAGCTGTCTAGGTGGTCGCACACAGCCTCATCATATGCAGTTTCGCCAACAGCGTTGGCACACTGCAGGGAGGAAGTGCAGTCAAGTCGCCATAATACTGGCATCTGTTGATTCGCGAAATGCTCTGGCTTTCAGGCCGTTCTTTAGATCTGGGTTGGGGAACTTATTCTGGACGCTCTGTCAATACGGACTCTTGCGGCGATCAGCCGCGACCCCCGAGGACCAACCTCCCCCACTGTCTTGTCTCACTGCAGATCCACATCAGCGGCGGTTTTGCTGCGTCCCTGGAGGACCAGCAATCGGAGACACCAGCCATCAAATAGGCAGAGGCCTCGAGCACGAGGTGCGGGGTGCGTGCTGGACGTTGTGAGCTACTGCGCTGGGAGCAGCCCGTGCGCCAGGGGTGAGCAATGGCAACTCACACTGTCGCTGCTCAGCGGGTGTCTGAGATTGAGTTGGTGTGCAACGTTGTCAGCTACGACGCTGGAATCAGTGTGTCAAGAAAACGGGGAATGGCAACATGCTCCGGCGCTATTGCCAGAATGGGGGAAGCTAAGTCGGAGCCCACTGTCATCAGTTGCAGCGCTGGGACCAGTTGCGAGAAGGGTGGCCACTGCAGCAGGCCCTGTCGCTGCCCAGCAAAATGCGGCCGGCGGCAGTGGAGCCCAACGTGATCAGTGATAGCAGTGGGATCAGAGTGTGCGTGAAGGGCGGACAATGGCAGCAGGCACTGTCCCAGCTCGGCGGGTGTGGCTCTCGCTGCGCAGCGACTGGTGGAAAGCGACGCTGCAGCCAGGCGCTGCAGCTACATTCCCGAGTTCAGCGTGTGTCGGAAAGTCGGGCAATGTGTGCAGGCCCTGTCGCTCCTCAGCGAATGTGACGGGCAAAGTTTGAGCCAGACGTCACCAGCTACAGCGCTGGGCCAGCACTCAGAGCAGCCCGAGGGCGGAGGCTGGAAGTGGCATCGAACTCTGCTTCTACACAGGGGCTGCGGCAAGCCTTTTCTCGCCGCCAGGCAGGCGGGGGGGATGCGGTGGCCCACTCACTCCCTGCCCTTGGGCAGGAAGTGGGCCTCCGCCTCCCCCCGTCCGCTTGGTGGTGAGCGCGGCCTTGCCTGGTCACCTCTCTGTCAAGATGGACTGATGCGGCGATCAGCTGCGACCCCCTAGGTCCAAACTCCCCCACTGTCTTGTCCCACTGCAGATTCACATCTGCGGCGGTTTGCTGCGTCCCTGGAGGACCAACAATCAGAGACACCAGCCATCAAATAGAGATCATAGCGGCGATCAGCTGCGACCCCCGAGTAGATGAAAGAGAGTTCATAGCGGCGATCAGCTGCGACCCCCGAGGAGATAAGAGAGATCATAGCGGCGATCAGCTGCGACCCCCGAGAATGACCACGGCCCCTGACCCGCGGATTCGGGGCCAGGCTGAGGGGAGAGGCGTTGCTTCCCCTCGCCTCTCCCCTCTTGGGCCAGGCGGCTGTCCCCCGCCCTCGGCCCCGGGGCCCGCCTGACGTACTTCAGACGTCGGCGTGGTTGCCCCCCCCCCCCCCAGGGCCGCCCGTGCTCCCCGCTGCCCGTGGTTTGGCTCATCATTCTCAGCGGCGGCTAGCTGCGGCCCTGGAGGACCACGTGGTGTGTGTTGGCGTTCCCCGGGTCTTGGGCGGAAGTGCCAAGCGGCGGACTGGGTCTGACCTTGCCCCCTGGCCCTCGTGTCTACCACAGTGCAGCTCCCCCAGGCGCATCGCCCTATGACATCGGCTCGCCCCCTCGCACAGGCGCCACTTGCCTTAGGGCATCGGTGCGCCTGGCTTGCACAGACGCCACGTGCCTCGGGAGGTACAGCCAGGTCTGTTCACTTGGGATACGCTCGTCCCCAGTTCAGTTTGGCGTTGTCCAGAAGGCAGCACCACCCCCAGTGCCGCCCCCCCCTTTCTCTCCACGTTGGCGCTGCTCACCACGCAAGCTGGTCTCCCCCCCCTCCCTCTGAGGCCTGACGCCGTACCGGCACGCGCTGCGTGGCCCACAGTCGCTTGGTTCCCCCTTGCACTGTGGGGTGGTCTGACGGTTGTTGTATCGCCCCGGTGTGGTTCAGCCTTCCGCGGCAGCTACAGCACCCCAGGCTCACCACCAGCTTCCGGCAGGTTGCGTTGGACCACGTCCCGCGGCAGCTCAGCTCCCCTAGCTAGCACACGTCGTCCAGGGCGTTTGGAGCCTGGCGCCCCACCGGCGACTCACTCCACCGGCCTCGCACTTGCCCCCACTTAGATTGACGGACTTGGTTGTCCTGGTTCACGTCGCATACTTTGGCAGGCACCGAATGCGTTGGCCACTCGAATTCTAGTCATTTTGTCCAGTGCGTGTGCCCGAGCTTGCAGTACGTCAGCCAGTTCAGCGTCACCCAGCATGCAGCTGCCGTCTGAGGGGGCCGGCCGGCGCTCCTGTTTTAGCCAATTAGCCTCGCCCGTGGCCCGGACGTTGCCTTCGCCGCCTGACCGTTGTCTTGTGGCCGCGACCATAAAGTAACCCCACCAGCCCATCCAGAAACGATGCTCAGACGAGTTGCCCTGATCGGGGATGCAGGGGAGCATGCAGTGAACTCAGGGGTCGGGGAAGCCGTCATACTTCAATAAAAGGAGGATGGAGGAGGAATCGGAAGAGGAGTCGGAGGGGGAGGGGGGGCGGTGGCCGAGGAGGGCTGAGGAGGAACGATGACGAATAGGCGGATGAAGAAGAAGAGGAGGATGACGAACAGGAGGAGGAGGAGGCGGAGGAAGAGGATGAGGATGATGAGCATGATGAGGATGATGATGATGAGGATGAAGATGATGATGATGAGGATGAGGATGATGATGATGGTGGTGTTGATAATGATGATGATTCTAATGCTGATGCTGATGCTGATGCTGATGCTGGTGCTGATGCTGATGATGACGATGATGATGACGACGATGATGATGATGATGGTGTCGGTGATGATGATGATGATGATGATTATGATGGTGATGATGATGCTGATGATGATGATGATGATGGTGGTGGTGGTGGTGGTGATGATGATGATGATTGTGCTGCTGCTGCTGATGATGATGATGATGATGTTGATATTCATGTTGATGTTGATGATGATGATGATGACGATGACGATGATGATGATGATGATGATGATGATGATGATGATGATGATGATGATGATGATGATGATGATGATGATGATGATGATGATGCTGATGATGATGATGATGATGAGGAGTTGGAGGAGGAGGAGGAGGAGGAGGAGGAGGAGGAGGAGGAG